ACCCTGGCTACGCCGCTGGTGTGCAAATATGTTCCTGTTTCCCAAATAAAATTGAGCTGCCGGTAGCCGCTCTGAGTTTGCACTACTACTTCTTTCAGTTCGGTTGTTTGTTTTTTCTGGCGCTTCTAAGTATAGAGTCTATTCACACGACCTCAGACCGCCTTTTAATGTCGAGTCACTACACACAAGCATGGCCGCCGAAGGCCATAGCGGTTTGCCGATAGTCGAGTTTGCTTTGCCTTCTTTTATTTTTCACCAAACTCACGAATAAAAGTTCCGCTTTATCGCTCGGCGGCCATGTTTGTGGGTGATGACTCAGCAAGTGAATAGACCCTATAGGTTTGTTGCAGCTGACGTCACTTCCGGCTAAACTGTAGGTCAAAACCAACATTGTCGTCTACTATCAGTGCCTTGTCACCATGTTGGAGGCAAAAAATGTTCTTCTCCTGACACGAAGTGCAGTCCATAAACCCGTAGTTAGGGTACGAAGCTTTTCTATCAAGATCATAAGTCAACATAATAATCCAAAGCGAAAGTCCCATGCGTTTGGCCGCGACGGGAGGGCGATGCATAGACGCGGACATCGGCGGCCTCATTTGGTGGTCCCTATAAGCTCATATCGCTGGCGACGCATATGCAGAAAGGAGCAGCAAAAAACCACCTGTAGATTCTGCAATTTTTTTTTAATTAGCAGAAAAAACATTTGAATTGCGCGTTGCCAAATTTAATAGAAAGGTAGGCTGTATCAACTCACTTATTAAAATATCCTTGCCCATCTTCCCCCCCCCCCCGCCCCCCCCCCCCCCCCCCCCCCCCCCAAAACAAAAAAAAGAAGCGGCTAGGGAAAAAAAAGCCTTCCCCGGGAAAAGAAAAACACGACAACAACAAAAATCTGCGCCGAGCAGCGTCGAAAATGCGCCGACCCCATAGCGGCGCCATCTGTTGACAGCCCGTGATATCGCGAGGAGAAACTAACTCTAGCTACAGTTACTCTAGAGTTCGAGTGAGGGTTAAGGGAGAGTATCATCGAAAGAAGCGGTCGCGAAAGAGTAACTTTGATGAAGAGAGGGTTAAAGTAGGGTAACTTAGGGCAGTTACTCTCCTTTGACACCTTTTTTTTTTTAGAGTGTAGTATGTCATTTTTATTCTGACACGACGCTAGGTCACTGTCGAGCTATAGCAGTTCCTGGGAGCTACGCAATTGTCGGTCCAACTTTTCTTTGCCGAGTGTCATGTCAGTATCGAGTTGCAATTGTAAAAGATCGGTCCAGAAGCGCTTACCAAAACGCGGTCTAACAGAGTGAATCCAGCACTTCGATCAAACGCGCGTGTCCGCTCCGAGTGTGAACTCCCGTAGTTCAAACATATCTTTTTTTAACGTCGGCTCGCAACTCGCAGCAACTAATACCGGCCGTGCCAGAAGCACGCTCGGGTCGTGTCGTGCAAAGAGCCGCAACTAGAACGAGTTCACTGTGGCCAACTACGCTTTGGCTTTCTCCGCCAAGGCTTTGCAAAAGCGTTCAGGCCTAAGCTAATTCTGCCGGCACGCCGTATTGCCGCAGAACGGCGCTGCTCCTATGCCACAAGTGATGTCACGAGAACTTCCCACCATCCACCAGATGCGAATTTGAAATCGTTTAATTAAATTTAAAATTAGTTCTCCTGTGTTTTACAGCGCGATATTGACATTTCCGAGGTGGTGCCTGTCCCTAGCCCATATTTACGCAGAAAGATCGGCGCTAAAAATTTCGTTTCCGTACTCCTTTAATGGTACGTTTACAAAAGAAATCCGCTGTCGCGGGAGCGGAGCCGCTCCCGTCGGCGGCTGTCTCTACCGGACGTTGCCGCTCCCAGAAGAACGCGTACTCATGACGTAGGCAGTGTCGCGCTGCGCAAGAATGTCACTTCCGGTCAGCGAAACGCCTCGTTCGGCGGCAAAAGTAGGTCCCGGAACATACGGCTCGCCGCCGCGTTTTCCGCCCAGCGTTTCGCCCCAGCGGCAAAAGCTGGGCGGATTCGCTGACGGATCCAAGTGTAAACGTACCATAAGAGCTGCGCTCTAAAAAGACACACGTACGACAAGGACAAGCGCCAACTTCTAACTGATTTAATGACACCAAGCATCGTCAACTGTCGATCACCATGACCAATAGACACCCCCAAGCAACAAGATCAAAGTTCATATCCCTAATCGCACGAAGCCATCAAGAAACAAAATGTCTTTATTCAGCAGTGAAGGGATAGCATGCTTACGCATTTGACAACCGTTTTTTTTTGTTTTTTTTTTTTATACAGAAAGTTTTGATTATTTTTCTCGTCATCTTCTCATTCCCTGTGCTCTCTGACATTGGTCCACACCCACATTGTTTTAGTGCTCCGCAAGATGCCCGCTCGAATTATCGCGTAAAGCAGTTGTGTTCCCGCGCTTTTTCATTAAAACATCGGCCGGTCTAACTGATGTAAACTTGGCCGCAACTGAATGGAATCTCATACACAACCTTAGTCACGCATTCGGTGTATCTTGTTACATGTTTTTTGAGCACGAGACAAACTTCTGTTTTTACATCGAAGAGCATATCTTTGAAAGTTTGCAAAGGGCTGATAACACCACATTAACCCTGTGCCTAGCAGCTATCTTTTTTATAGTGTGTAACGCCTTGTGCAAATATGGAACCACCTGCACTGTCATCTCGTCTGTCTTTTCACGACATTTGTCGCCGCCACCTCGTTTTATTTTATTTTATTTTATTTTTTTTTTTTTTTTGTGAGAGCTTTTTACACACACTTGACACTGAGCACTTCGGGTAACCGGCACTCTTCAAGCGTGTAACCTGATGATCAAAGCTGATCTGCAGTCCATGCTGGCAGCTCTTTGTAATGGCTGCATGAAGGCAGGTAGATGCAACCCCACGTTTAGCAAGCTTCGAGTGGGAACTGCTGAAAGGAAGGATGTTTCTCTTAGATCGTGGATTGTAACTCCAGCACAAATGATCCGCGATAACATTGAGCTGCAAGTCGAGAAACTGAATACTGACTTCATTAGGTATTTCCCAATTGAAGTCCAGTCCGCCCGACAGCGATCTAAACAAATTGACAATTTCTGCCAGATCATGCTCCATGCAGCTCACTGTACCCCAAGATGACCAATAAATTATCAACAGAGCGGAAAATCTTGACCAGATTCATCCAGTCAAGAGCCCCCGATGTGCGCTTGACCAGAGCAGAAAGATATATGTCACACAAAACGGGTTGCAACAAAGAACTAATAAGTATCCCAGTCTTCTGTACGTAGAACTGTTCATTAAAAACAAGGGCCGTGGACTGCAAGTAAAATTCTAACAGCGCCATAAAATGGTCCCAGTTAACACCCGTAGAATCCTAGAGCCCCACTTCACCTGACTGCGTTATGCTCTCACGAACAGCGGTGAAAAGTCCATCTTGAGGAACCGAGATAAAACAACTCTTCTACATCCTCAGAGAAGGCTGTGGCCGCAATCCGCAACCCTGCCTTCAGAACTTCAGCAAGTTCTCCGGAGCTTCGAACCAGAAAGGGAAAGATCGACCACAAAACCAAAAGGAGCAACGCCATGTTGGCTAGATAGCTACGAAACTGCCGAACCTTCGAAACAACCGATATTTCGTCCAAAAAGTTTCGGAATCTTCCGAAACAGTCCGAAACCGAACTTCCGGAGTTTCGCCCATCAGTTGTATAGACCAGGGGCGGCCAGGCTGACCCGGCCTAAGAGCTGCAAACAAAAACCACGTAACTTCCCAGAGCCGCAGGGGGGGAGGGGGGCAAATTTTTGTCCAGAGCAATAAACAAAACTCCCCAACTACTTTCAAACTATCCGAGTCAAAAACAGTCCATCTGTACGGTAGCAGTAGCACAAGACTATACGAGACCGCAACCTGTCTTTCGATATAAAACGCGTTCCATTTCTCTTTTTAGGGAAGTGCTCGTGTGACCGGAAGGGTTGCGGGAGGGGGGGAGGGGGGGGGGGGGAGCCGCGAGCCGCACAGCAGATCAACAGCGCAAGCTCAGAAGGCGTTCCACAGCCCAGCAGACAAGGGTGGGCGCGCAGAAGGCAATTTTTTGCAAAGGACAACACGCGCCGCTGCCGTCGCTCCGCTGACGTCACTCCGCTGACGTCACGCCACTGACGTCATGCAAATGACGTCACGTCGCTGCGGTAACGCTGCTGTCGGCACGGCACAGACGATTCACCTCACTCGAACCTGCCTTTTCGCATAAACGCAGTGCCCACACTTGGTGTGGACAAACGCTGGTTTGTTTGTACAGCATGTTGGCCTATGAGGAGCGCAAGTCCGTCTGCTTCTGGCACAGGGGTTGCGATGATGTCAGAACGCCAAGCTCTTATTGGCTGATTGAAAAAGAAAAATAGTGGGAAGACCTCGTAGCATCTATACTGGTCTTCACCTCAAGAAAAAAGGAAGTTTTGCTCATGGTCCATACGCCGCGCGAAGTGTAGTTCTTACAATATTTGGTTGACGGAGGAAGAAGCGATGCTTTTGGCGTTTTAAACGTGTACGTTTTGATAACATATATCTAGTCTGAAATGCACTCACTTATATTTGAATTCTCTACGTAAAAGGGTAAATTAATAATGCTCCGCAAAAAGCGCTTTTTGTTTTACAGCGCTTTTTGAGGTGAAAAGGAGTATAGCATTGAAATCTACCCACTATATCCTATTAATGAAAGCCAATCAGAGCTCGGTGTCGCTCTGACGTCACCGCAGCTCCTGCGCAAGAAACAGACGACTTGCTCTCCGCATAGCTCCCGTAGTCTGTTCTTCATTTTTACGTGGATTTTTCGTATTGACGTGTCTATACCTTGAACACTCCCCACCCCCCAGGAGTGCGTTAACGGCAGCGACGTTGACTTGGAGACGTTCCGCACCGGCCTGGAGGTCCTTTTTGGGATACGCTGGCCTCACCCGGCTAATTTGGTGGACCCCTTCATGCTGGTGGTCAATCTGAGCATGCAGTGGCAACTGCCGGTCCTTCTGCGCCTGCGCAACAACGCCCTCGTCCAGTCGGGTGACGTGAGCTGCATCCTGTTCGAGGGCGTCCCCATGTACTGGTGGCGCGCTCGTGTTGAGCGCATGCTCAGGGAGGGCTCCTACGAAGGCTACGTCAGGGAGTACATCCGAGCCTTCAAGCGCACTCCCGATGACGACAAGGTGTGTGTGTGTGTGTGTGTGGGGGGGGGGGGGGGGGGGGATTTGGACAATGTTCTGTTTCCGGTGTCAGTTCACTGTATGTTAGAAAGGTGGAGCAGAGAATCATATCACTTTCAAAAAAGGCATTCGTATATTCCGGTTCACCTCAAGCCGAACCGGTCCCATGACAGGAGTGTCAGGAGATGGGGGTCTCTCGTACAGCTCTTATTTATTTACACAACATATACAAGTCAGGTGGGTGACAACCGAGAGCCGGCTCCTATCGTTAGTCAGCTCTTTTTAAGATTACTGATTTTCCCTAGGTCCCCAGGTAGGGACCCCAATGTCGTCAGAAGGCAGCCAATTCCCATGGAGCATGGTTCTTGCTACCCTTTAGTCTTTGCCCCACCCCGTTGTCACGCACAAACGTAAGGCTATCTCACGCACCATCTCGCAGACACCCGGCTGATTTCATCACCTGGACGCAATTCTCCTTAACCGGGTAGCTCAGGTAACCCTACCCCAGACATTCCTTGCGTTCGGGCGGGTGAAAACTACACCACGAGTCTACGACGCCGGGTCGCACAACTTGACAAAGATCGGTTCGATGAAGTCTAACGCACACCTGTGGTATCGTATAGGATGACGGCAGTTCCAACTTCCGAGGAACTCGTCGCACACCGACGGGAAAGTTTTGCGAAAGCCATCCATGACAGCTGGGATCAATGGTAGAAATCGACCACCGATCGTAACAGCCCAGATATGCGAGGCGCGCCGAGTCCCGAGGATGGCATGGTTCTGCAGACAATGAAGTTACGGCACTCTAAATCACCGCAGTACGAATCACGAAGCAAGCAGCGTCGACGTACTAAGCCAGGCGTTTCTTGGGCCGTTGGTGACAATAAAAATATCCCACGTTTCCCCGTAGCTCGGGGTGCAGTCAAAGCCTATATCATTCCCCTTGACACGCCATATTCGAGCGCGTTGTGCCAAGCACATTCTAAGAACTGCACCCATTTCTCCAAGAACTACTAACCTGCCTGTGTGGAACACGCGCACCCGTTCATCCGACGTGCATTTTACACCATAAATGTCGTTGTTCTTCGCAGGCGTTCTGCCAGGAACAACGAAGAGAGCGCTCCAATATGGCGGCCAGCGAATACCACTTATGATCGCTTATATACTCTGTTTCACCTTGTGTTGCGCAGGAAAGGCTACAAGCGCGAGCTCCTTGCTCTATGGCACACCTTGGCAGCACAAGCTCTCGTGCACCAAAGGCAGCTGCCAACGCTATGAGCTCGCGCTTCTAGTCTTCGCTGCGGTACAACATAAGGTGAAACGGAGTATAGAAAGTATTCACTGGGCGTCACATTAGTGGCTGCTGCTTATAGCGCATACTCAGAACGAGCTCACATTAATATGCTGCTAAGCCCAGCATTCTTGATGGTGCGGAATGCACGTTGCAAAAGAACTGTGGAAGCTCGGCGTCAGCAAGCGCTCCGCAATCGTGCATGCAGCTGACCGCCAGTGAATATTCCATATATAGGCGAATACTGCTCGAGCGAGCAACTTATTGTCGTTTTGCAGCCAATTAGATTGCGGTATTGGTCGATACGAATGTCAAAGAACGCATTAAGACGCCATAGACCCGTTGCTCTGGGGCAGGGGGCGCGAGCGCATCCGCAAGACGTCCATGTTATGATGGCTAAACCATCCAGGTGCCTCTGTAACGTTTGATTTTGCACGTGCCACGTTCGAACGCAAGCATCTGAAGATGCGCGATTACAAAACCTCTAAAGAAATAAAAATTTAAAAAAAAAGAATTATGCAGCTCACGGCCGCAGCGTCCCATTAAACATTCCTTTCATCTTTGCCTTCGTTCATAGCTTCCGCGAGCAGGTATGTTTCACCTTACGTGATAGCGAAGCCGAAGCTACTCGCAAAAGCACGTCCTCCTGAAAGATGCTCGCAGTGCACGAGCACGCGTGCTTGACAGGGACGCTGAAAGCTCGCAGCTCGCTCTTGTAGCCTCTGCTACGCTGGCACTTAGAATGGAACGGAGTAGAAAAAAACTCTAGTGGGGAAGCGTATTGACGCATGTTCGAAACCCCAGCCAAATATTCTATTTTGCTCGCTTGGAGCGCTGCTCAAAACTTGAGAGCTACGGGCCTATAGGCGTTTCCATAAGCCATGCCCCACGTTTTATAAACTGTCAGAAACTCTAGAAGAGATATAAACAGAAGCAAGGTAAGTACATTTCCTGTGCTTGATTGGTTTAACAAACGAGCACAGAAACACAGAAAGCCGATGAACGCTATGAGGTTGCACTTTTGGCGCCTACATCGGCGCCAAAAGTGCAACCAGTCAGTCGGCGCCTACATCGGCGGCAATCGTCGGCGGCGTTGTCAACCATGGGCGTCGAAGCGTACATCGGCCACTGAAATTGCGTCACGAGGGAAGCACAAAACCTATACCGTCCTTCTCAATGGCTCAGCCATAGTAGAGAAAAGGCAATGATTAGTGATTCAACGCCTACCCCGAACAACGCGCAGGAACCCCTGGGAGCTTCTTGATTGGGGTTGCTACGGTTGATCGAACGCCGTTTCATCAAAGCACGTTTTAGGGAACAGGCACGTTTTACCGAAGCTCGGTTTAGAAAAAATGGAGCCTCAGTTTAGAGAAAAGCCGTCTATCTAAAATGAGACGCTGTTTAAAAAAAGACGATCCTACTCCGCGCGGCATCACAGGACATCAACCTAAAGCCCTTTCATTTTTGAAAGGGAAGTTCCGTCGATGCAAGAGGTAGGTGCAACGTGAAGCCCTTGGGAAGGTCAGGGCGGCACAGCGCAGCACTGAGCTAGATTTCAGACGCCATGTTCTTCCCAGAAGTGGCACGCGGCACGTGTCTCAAGCATTTTCCCACAACAATGAATGGCGCCACTTTTCCCAGGATAGAGGGGCTTTATCCCAACCTTCCCGTTTACACCGCTTCGCGGCGACTGCCTGCGGCGGCTCATTACAAAAATGTTAGCCCACCTGGCCCATTCGTACACGCCGCTTCGCGGCGGTCGAATTCGCTAAAAGGAGGCTCATCGCCATTTCCTCTAAATTGGGTTTCTCAATAAGAGGATTTGATAAACATGGGTCAGTAAAACTGCGTACACTAAAACGAGCTTCTCAAAACCGCATGCCTCGGTTCTTGATTCGCCAGGAGCAGACTTCGCGGCTTATCATGCTTACTCTTTTTACTTGATGATTTGTTCTCCGGCAATAATATCGGCCGATACCGGCGCAGTCTTATTGGCTGCGCGGCGATAAGATGTGCGATGTTAGCCCCGCCCTGTAGAAGTAGACGTGCATGGTGGTAGTGTCAGTGCTTAAAGTTAGGAGTGTCTTGGGGGATCTCAGAAACCCAACGGATTTCAACGGGGGTTCTCAGTTTCCTTTAGGGAGTGGATCCAACCATCGCGCCCCTAACGACGAAGTTGAGAACTAAACCCATGGGTATGACATTATTTATTTGGGCGTGTTTCTGACGCAGCGTTTGGATGCACGTAAATGTTATTAGTTTAAAGGTAAGCTACTGGTCAAAATAAGTCCCACTGCAGCCCCCCCCCCCCCCCCCCCTCCTCCCCCCTGGTAGTTTTAAGGTGTAGCTGCGCTCTCGTTTGTTCCTTTGTTTGGGTATATACCCAAACCCCGGACACCGTTTCCACAGGAGTTTGTAGCGAACGTAAGCCGTCGCCTGCAGACCGTGGAGAGGCACTTCTTGGACCACAGGGACGACTTCTTCGAGCGCGAGGGGCTCCTGGAGAAGCTCACCGTCGGCGAGCTCGAGGCCAAGTACACGAGCGAGATCAGCACCGTGCGTTGGGTCGATGCTATCAGCTGGGCATGGTGCGTATACTATATAGCGCGTATAATGGCGCAGCGGTATTCAAATTTTACACCACCGGAGAGCAGTTGCTTCTGTTACATGAAGTTGATGCGCACACACAGCACCTGGTGCCATATACGTGTCTCAATGGCATTCACATTTCTGACCGGGAAACTTACCTGATAGTTGAGGATTCGACGAGTTTCCATGAATTGTGAGGATTGGCTCGTTGCATGCTGCGCAGAAAAGTGCGTTAGCAAACTCAGGAAAACAACGAGTGTCGTGACGATGCACTTTTGCCACTGCTTGCTTGGCTTCTTCGGTGCATCCGCTAAAGTCTGAAGTGAAGCGGAGTACCTCCGACACACGCGTAATGCATGCAGTCTAAAGAACGAGCCTTTAAACCCACTTGAGAGTCCCTTTAAAAGTGCCAACGATGGTTCGATATACACTGATCAAAAGAAAAACAAAAACAAACACTAATATTACTAACGCCGTCCTAATAAGGGAACACCACAGCGAGTTCCCTTTTCGCTGCTTGCGTATGCCTAACGCGTGCTTTTGCGCGCTTCCTAAATCGGCGAACAGGTGCGGAAATATTGCCCGAGCCGAGTCTAGGATATATAAAAACACCGTATACAACGCCATGCACTCGCCGGAAACATCTGAAGTGCCTATTTTCCCCCAAATCACTCGGGAAAGACAGTTTATACGAAGGGTGCCCGGCGTATATGACGAGGTTGGAAATATGTTAAGACCTAGAAAAAAAACAGTCGGAGCTTAGCATTGTCTTAATGTCACGGCACAGACTGTATCTTTTAGGTATAAACGTGCTTTCAGCCTCGTCACATACGCCGAGCACCCTTCGTAGAGCGCAGCGATTCTCTCTCCCAGACGCTTTGCGAGAAAGGATAGGCATTCCACATTTCTTGAAGTTCACACGGAGTGCTTTTTTGTTTTTGTTTTTTGACGAGCGTGTTTGCGTCAGTGTTGGACAAAATACTCGATAAAAGTATTTAAGTTAAGTTAGTAAATACCTGCTTCATAAAGTATTTAAGATACTACTCAAGTTACTTTCACTGTAAAGTATCTTGAGTAGAGTACAAATACTTAGAAATGTAATCCAAGTACTTTTGAAGATACTTCCGCATTGCGTAATTTGAATCGATGTCAGTGACAACGACAATTATACAGTTGCGCAAATCTGGTTTGCCAGAATGGTTTATTAGCGCGCAACAACAACAAAACGGCAAAAAAAAAAATAATAATTGTAGGGCTATTTCATGCAGTCCATCTATGAGGAGCAGAATATTGTAACGAATGACAAATGATGAGTCGGCGAATGACTGAAGAAACTAAACGTTTAATGGGGCCAACTTGTGCCCAAAACAAAACAGAGAAAGGCTAGCGTTGCAGGCGTCGATGTCGCCGAAACAGAAAGATAGAGCGCTAAAACAAAACTAACTCTCGACAAAAAAAAAGAAAAATTAGCTTGCTTTTGTATGTTTATACAGCCTTTATGTTGGTATGCCTCAACGGGTGACCGGTCGCTTAGCTGTAGATGAGAAATTTAGCCAGTTCAGTACAACCGCTAACCTGGGGTTTTTAACGTGCATCACGCGGTAGTGATTACACGAACGCGTGCCGTTTCGATCATCCAGATCGAAACGGGCAGGGGCTGTGGGGATCGAACCAAGAAGGTTCCCATAGCAAGCTTTCGCTACCGCCACGCGGAGCACCTTTTGTACACGCGTGGGTTTCTGGAACATTCGGCGTAGAGCATTCCGCGCGTAGAACATTCGTAACTCGATCACACGACAAGGTTCTCGAACTTACGAGAATGTCAAGTTGAAATAATAAATACAAAAAGAGTCTGTTCTCTGGAATCGAAGCCGGAGGCTCCGCGCAAGAGCCAAGCGCGGTGACCATTCGGCCACGCGCTTGCTCGGCGACGCGCGTGGCAATGTCACTGATACTATACTCTGTTTCATACTTAGCGTACAACGCTGTCAAAGCTTCTGGCGCGAGCGCGTGGCTTCATTTATGGATTTGTTTGCGCGAGAACGCGTGCAAATGATTAACGAGATCAAGCCCCACGCTCGCGCCAGTAACTTTGACAGCGTTGTACGCTAAGTATGAAACAGAGTATAGTTTCAAAACATTTCTGGGATAGACATAGAGAGGTGGCTTTAGACTATAGTGACATCGCTGAATATTACGTCCTACGGCGCACCTTACACGCATCGTTTAACTACAATTGATTCCCTATATGGGGAGTTCACTATAAACGAACTTGGGATACGGATATGAGTGAATGGATAACAAAGAGAACCCACATAATAGCCCCGGCAGTAGTCGCACCTTCTTCAAGTAGGTTGCGTTCAGAAAGGCACTCAGCGTTGGGGGACGCTTTGTTGGGATTTTGAGAGGTCATCCAGCTTTTAGATTGTTTCTTGTCCTGTTCTCTGCTTATCGATGCTCGCTTAGAGGCAGTGTTCGCGAGAGCAATAAGTGACGGACTGACGACAAAAAGAAAATAAACCAAAGAAAGCCTAGACGTTTTGCAGTAGCGGGGCCAAATATACCACAAGCAAAAAAGTCTTCTTGTTTTTTGTGTGTCCACTTTTCATTTTTTTTTATTTGTTATTTTCTTGACACTCAAGTCTGCATTGTTGTCGTAGGTTGTTTCCCGGTTTGTGTTGCGCCTCAGAGGGGCAATCCTAACTTCTGTAAAGCCACTCCCTTTGTATGAGGATTTTTTGGGAGAAACTCTAGGAAACAAAAGGCGCCTTTGGGAAGGTGAGAGGAAAACCTTGATTGTACGAACTTTCGGCTGAGATATGAGTCACAATCGGCAAAAAAAGCTGTCTTTTTTTTTACGAGCTCAACCCAAAGTCACCGTAGCTAATCGGAGCTAGCTACAGGACTTGGGTGCTCGAAAGAATGTTCTCGTTTGCTCGTGCCACGCCGACGACACTTAATACCGAAAAACTCGGAAAATGGCGGAATGTGAAAAATGTATTTGAGATAATTAGTACATGATACTCAGAAATGTAATTAAGATAGGGTATCAAGTACTCTCGATCAAAAGTATTTCCAAGATACCAAGATACTTCAAAAAGTATTTAAAATACAGTATCTTGAGTAGAGTATTTGAGATAGGCACAAGTCTGGTTTGCGTGCAGGGCGCGTACGGTGAACGAGTCCTACACTGTGTACTTGGCACATCCGGCGGCCCTGGAACTCTTCAACAGTCTCCTGCTCAACTTCTCGTCGGAGGACGTTGAGCTGTTCATTGGCTGGCTCGTCATCCAGACACTCGCACCCTCCGTCAGTCTCAAACTCAGGGACCTGCTGTTCGTCAACACCACCGTCGAACAGGGTACACATGCTACGTTTCTGCCGACGGTGTGAGGGTCCTTGTAGGCGATAAGGCACCTCCTGCATGTTGCGTGGGGCCCCTACCAATACCACCTAAAACACAAGGCCTGCGCGTTTTCTCCTCTAAACGTCGTCACTAGTAGATCCCCTCAGCGCCCCCTAGCTAGCCCGGATGAGCAACATCGTCTGCTACATCGTCTGCTACATCGTCTGCTCCATCGCCTGCTTCAGTGGTTTGTGTAACAGATAATGAAACAGATGCTCACGCCGAGTGTCTCTTGCAAATAGCATACGATGAAGTTAGACGTTCACGTGGAGCGTCAAATGCATGAGCGAAATTGCCTTACTGCTGCGCGAAGGGCTGAAAAGCCCCTCGTTAGACGCTGGACGCTGACACTGGACGCCATTTTCGAGGGCGCTGTTTATACCTCGAGTAGCTGCTTCGAAGCGTTCTACCGCAGAACGAGCGCGCGCGCTAGAAATGCGCGTCTCAAAGCCAGGAGCGCGTGCTAGCTCGCGCTCCTGGCCGAGGGAGCGTTCGCGTGCACGTCGCAAATGCACTGGAAGCTCGCTATCAGCTCGCGCTCAGCAGTCACGCACACAGCTGCGGCCGCAAGTGAATGCGACGTAGTTGCGACGCGGCCCCTACTCTCGTCAAGCTTCGGGGTGTTTGCCGCTTGGGGCGGGTCGGGGATCTACTAACGAAACGTCATGCGCAGGCCTTGTCTTCTAGGTGGTATTGCCCCTACCCACATTTGCGTAAAGCCTGGTTCAGACAGTTGCGTTTGACTGCATTTGACTGCGTTGCGGCTGCGAGAAACCAGGACATCCCTACTGCTTATATCGCGTGCCAAGATGATTCCTTGAATTGGATTCCACGCTTCATACGAAGCGCAAATGTGCCGGTGACTCGCTTTCGGTTCTCGACGCAACGCAGTCAAACGCACTCTCAAACGCAAGTGTCTGAGATGACTGCGTTGCGTCGCGAAACGAAAGCGAGTCACCGGCACATCTGTGCTTCGTATGAAGCGTAGAATCCAATTCAAGGAACAGCTTGGTACGCGACAGAAGAAGCAGGAATGTCCTGGTTTCTCGCAGCCTCAACGGAGTCAAACGCACTCAAACGCAACTGTACGTAAGGGCCTTTACGGCGTCGTGATGCGTGGGCCAAACGCTTGGTAGTATCGGTCTATTAAACCAGGTCTCATTTGACGCATATCGTTGTTCATAAAGATTGTGGTTGGTTTACCTTTGAACAGTATGACGTCCCGTCTCCCTGCCGTAAAGAGGCAACTCGGTTCACGGTAGCCATGTATAGCCATTAAAAAAAGTATAGCAACGACCGTTACTTCGGGTCAGTCTTATAGCCAGGGGGGACTTATGGAATTTACCCCCTCCCCGAAATCTAGCCTATCCTATAACATACACATGCACCTTGATTCCTTTCTACCCCCTCCTCCCCCCCCCCCCCCCCCCCCTCCGTAGCTATGGCGACCCTTAAAGGGACAATGAAGGCAATTTCAGACATCTTTTTGGCGATTGAACTGGGTTCCAGGCACGTCTCAGGCCACGTTGCCCAAATTTCAGCCGAAACCGGCGCTTGTGTGCCGTGCAAATCAATTAAACAGTCGCGGTAATAATCGTGCCGGGATCGACTGGGGCGACGCCCCGAGAGTTGCGGGAGAAGCCAGGAGAAGCGGAGCTCACGTGACCGATGCGAGGCCAAGGAGCGCGACGTCACAAGAGACGCGTCAGCGATTGGTCAAAACGAGAAACGTGCCCTCGGTCACGTTTTAGTTCGCGATTTTTAGAAATACTGTTCTAATTTCCGCTTGAATAACCATCAAAAGTATAAATCGTATCGGAAATGATTACTAAACCGTAAATAAAGCAGCATCATTGTTTTTTTCTTTGCTACGCTGGACGCGAAACCGGCAACGAGCAACTATGGGCCAACAAAATAAAATTAAAAAAGAACACGGTACTCGAAAGATTTTGCAAAATGGTAGCTGTAGATGGCTGTTCTAACGGTCGACTGAAGACCAGTATCCGTTCGGGCGACACTAGTTTTCACGTGTGGGCAGCTGTTCGTGTTCTTTGACGACAAAAAGAGAACGTCCGCGGAGGAACCGGATCCCGGAACGGCGGGATCGCTGCCGCTTTCCCTTCGGCATCTCCCCCGCGTCCGTCCTTCGGCATGCGGGCCGCTCGTTGCCGGCTGGGCGGTCTCCGTCGGGTGATGGCAGTGGCCGCCACACACGTACTCCCGTTCCGTTGGTGTTCGGTCACTGAACGGAAGCTCGAACTCGCTCGCGAGAGCGGCATTCGTCCATGTTGACAGAGTCGGCGCAACGACCGCGCCACCGCGCTGCTATAACCTACCGCGGTAACCAGAGTTTCGATTTCCTAAATACTACCGATACCGACTATTCACACTTGGCGTCACTCCCTACGTCACCTCCGTTTTCGGAGGCCCAGAAACGAGACTGGAGATGGTTCAGTTTCGGTTTCTTTACTTCTTTCGTCGGCACATAAATACGCGTCATAAATGTCTACAAAAAATTGGGCGGCATGCTATGTTCCCAAGAAGCATTAAAGGACCGGTGCAACGATATTCATTTGGAATGTTTTTCACTTGACACGAGCTTACTGGCACAGCTGGGACTCAAGGATACTCACACGCAACGCCACTGGCCAAGAAACTCCTTTGTTGCGGTGTAATTTCAAGGACGAAAGCGATCCTTTTCATTCAATCTCTCCTTTGCAAAATTTGATGACGTAACGTGGGGATCGCAGTACACCCAAGTGACGATATTTGAATGCGGTTCATAGATTGGACCCGAGCATTGCGTGGGCACTCGACTTGGGCTCGTGATAATTGCTAGCTCGAGAAGCATTCGGGTAGTGACCCGTGTCCAATCGCTGCAACGACGACAACAGCCGAGCCATAACAATGTCTGGAACGCAGCACGTGTCCTGCGCTTTGCCAACCTCAGCGCGTGGCTATGATCAACACTGGCGGCATATAATCGGCTCCAGATCACGTGGCCGCTTGTTCTGGCTGTGAGTTGAGGGGGTGAACGCTGCTCGTTTTTCTTCAATTTTTTTCTGGGACTTCTATTGCGTGGGGTGAAAAACGAACGCGTGTTTCATAGGTCATTAACATTAGGGATTCGTTTTAAGCGGTATTTGCGCAAAATACAAAAATTGTTGCATCGCTCCTTTAAAACACCATTTAAAAAAATTAAATAAAATCGTCTTCATTGTCCCTTTAAGTTACGACGAGCCAATGGGGAGGCGCTGTGCTGCACGACGCAATGCGGCGCAACACGGTCGACGCAGCTGTGTGAACGCGCAAGTGTGTGAACGTGAAAACTGAAGCTCCTCTCTGCTGTTCTCACCTTGCCAGTGACTATGCAGGTGGAAACGGAAAGAGGAAGAGACGGGAGTGCGCGGGGAGGTCAGAACATCGAGCTCTGACTGGAATGATTAGTGGGCAGACTCAAAGCTAGCTGCCTTTGTCTCCACTGCACTCGGTCGAACGCGTTCGAAAGCCCAACGCCGGAGTCCCTGATCCTTGGCCCGTTCACACACTTGCGACTTCTTAGGACAGGAGAGGCAAAAAAACTCGACTTTGCAAGCATTTCCTGACGGCCGTCACAAAAGGTTTACAAGCCGGTCGCACCGATATCGGTCGCAGTCAGACGGAAGTGTGCGAACGGGTCAAAGCTCGGCGCTCTGGGGTCCACGCGATTTCGTCTCCTCCTCTCCCTTAGCTTCTATACGCAGGGATAGGGTAATCTGCCCCTGACGGGCCGAAGAACATTTAGACAGAAAAGGTAGGTCCGCGTTGTGACACTGAGGGCTGGTTGACACACTTGCGACTGCTTACGACCGGGTGACTCGCAGCCTCTTGTGATCTCTCACGACGATGGATGGATGGATGGATCTGGCTAAACCCTGTGAATCGGGCGGTGGCTTGCGCCACCTAGCCAACATTATAAATCTAATTATATGTTTTGAATTCCAAGATTAAATCTCACCCCTGCCTCGATTTTAGCCACCAGTCTGATAACCTCCGCTTGGTTATTTCTACCCGTGTAAAGTCTATTTTTCCTTCACTGTCTTTAAAACCCAATGCTTTGATTAAATCCGCCCGGTCACTGTTAACTGTTGGGTGAAGCCCTTTACAGAAAAGTATTAAGTGTTCAGCCGTTTCCTCCTGCTCCCCACACACACTACATAAAGTGTCCATCTCCTGGTACTTAACCCGGTACGTCTTAGTCCGCAATACTCCTGTCCTGGCCTCAAACAACAAAGAGCTTCCCCTAGAATTATCGCAGATATTTTCTTTGCAAATTTCCTGTTTGAACATTCTGTACGTCTCCAGTGCTGGTTTTGTCTGCATACCCGTTTCCCACAGACCCTTCTCTGTTTCTTTTATCCTTTTCTTAACCCGTAATTCCTGGTTGGCGCCCCCACTGCCGCCCAAATATTTGCTTGATAATTTTCTAGTTCGCTTTCTCCATTTGGTATCTACATTCCTCATGTACAAATAACTGAAAACTTTCCTAGCCCACTGCTCTTCCTCCATTTCCCTCAAACGCTCCTCAAATTCTATCTTGCTGCTAGCTTCCCTGCCCTCGAATGACGTCCATCCCATGTCGCGACGATAGAACACACTGGCGCCATCTATCAAGTAGTGTGGAACACTTCCGATTCTCGTGTATTTCTTGTCTTATCGCCCATTGTTCATTCTGTATTGGCTCGAAAAACTTTTGACGTTATAAACTACCATTTCTTATAGATAGTATACCTACACTTAATCTCGTAAATACTGCAAATCCTTCGCTCTAGTGAAATACAGTTCCAAGACCACCCATAGGGGGCGCCAGCGGGCCAGTATGTTTTCTCGTTGTGAGAGATAACAATAACTTGGTTGGAAGCAAACGCAAGTGTGAAACATATGTAAGGTACTCTTCGGAGAGTGGTCGGCAAGTAGCATGTCCTTCGTTGCAGGTCCTTACTCGTGGCTCACCCTAGAGCGCTGCCTGGAGCTCACGAGCTCCTTGTTCGGCGTGTCGGCATGGAGCCCGCTGCTCCGCGAGCGCGTGACGCTGCAAACGCGCGACGGAGCCGTCCTGTTGCTCGAGGCCATTGAAAACTCCCTCAAGGCCAGGCTGAAGGAGAGCGACTGGATGGACGGACAGTCCGTGGACATCGCGCAGCGTACCATCGAGAGCATGAAGAGCGTCGCGGGACATCCCGCAGAAGTCGAGAGCAACGCCGTGCGATACGGGCTCTACAAAAAGGTGCCTGACCTGCGGGAGGTTCGTTGCACAGTTCGAGCCTCCTGCTGACGGATGCCACGGCCGCTTGATTACTGCCGCTTCACCAGGAGATGAATAGAAACAGCGATCTAGATGCTCGTAGCTGGGGGCAACGCTTTTGCGTTACTCGGGCCTGGCGCCGTTCCCGCGCTCGTTCGCCGGCAGTCACTGTGATTAAAAGGGCCCTGCAATCATATTTAAGCGTCTACCTTTTTTGCGGTTTCCACGTCTCTTGGGGTTGGGGCAAGCCAGCGGGCACGGAGAGAGTAACTAAATATCAGTGCGTCATATTTTAACCGGACGACGCGGAAACCTCCTCCACCGACGAGGGCGACCCGCGGTACCGAAAGCGCGCAAAATGTGACGTCTTTGGTCCTGGGCTTGCCACTGGTCAAAGCCGCTAAGAGCTTTTTTTTAGTCGAGATACAAAATAGAAGTGTCACGATGCATTTCAATTATGTATGAAAGTAGTTTTTGTTCACTATTTTAGATCAGAAGAGAAACAAATGCAGTTTAGAAAGTACGGAAACGAGAAATGACCCGTCGACATACCCGCCACCAAGCGGCGGAAAAAAACGGCGCATACTAGAAAAGGGTAGTGGGATGAGGCTACGACAAACGAGGAGAGTAGAAAGGCCCCGGATGTACGCGGCGGCGCTGTGGTCGTATACTGGCTCAAGAATCCGACCGGTTCCGAGCGTTCCGAAGGTCTTCGGCGCGGGCCCTCTTGGCGATTTGGCCATTTGGCGGTGCGTCAGCGCGAAGTGGCTGCCGTTTTGAACTGATCTTTACCCCGTGTTTGCTGTCGTTTGTGGCCAATGAAATGTTATGCCGAATTAGTGTTTAGTCGCGCTGCAAATGCAATACGAGCTGCCCTGGCCGCCCGCTTCATACAGCTTATCCAACACGTGCTTTAGTGGCGCCCTCTCGAGCCGTCGACACGGAGTGCGGCAGCCGTATGCGCTCGATGAGCTCACTACTCCTCCTCTAGTTCAAGGCTGCTCAAGGCAGGACCTACGACGTCATGAAGGGGGTTATTTTTTGCTTGTTTTTGTAATTCTAATTTGCCTATAACTTTTAAAATAAAGCGAAATTTGAGAAAAGTTGGATTAAGTTACTACGATCAGTACGCTCAGGTTCAGTGCAAATTAAAAAACCAGTGAAAAAGTCATTGCAGGGCCCCTTTAAGGTGCCTTCATGTTTGTCTGTCTCTGGGTGAAGACATCCTTTGTTGCACTGAGTGGGCCACTTCGTGACTTGCAGGCGCACTTTAAAAGACATAAAGGAAACGACTGGGCGAAAAAAATGACAGATGTCTCCACTTCAGACAAAAGCGGCGCATGCGTGTATAAAGGCACTGTAACTATAACCATTATTCGGTGCCACCATGCTTAATTCGTGACTGTAGCGACTAAAAGGGTCGCCACTCTCGACAAGATATGGTGGTCAAAAACAGGTTGTGCCGTGCCATGTGCCAGCTAAATGCACAACCGTCGAGTGCAAGCAGGCGAGCATGAACCACAAAATGTTTTGCACCGATTTTTATCCACTACGTTCAAAACCTGCGACGGTGTGTTGGAGCAGGCGAGCTTCCAGAAGCTTAGCCCTCTTCGAGGAAGCAATGGAAGGACTACCTACTGCCGTCCTGCCCGACTAATGAACGTTGATAAACACCCAGTGTTTGGTGCACGCGGTTGAGTAAGTTGCGTTCAGAGCACGGGTTCAGAGCGACATATAGGCAACACGCTGGTAGTATAGACCTGCGTCGCCTATACTCTGTTTCCCCTTATCTTGTACCGCAGCGTAGGCTAGAAGAGCGAGCTCATAACCTTGTGCCGCCGAGATGTGCCCTAGAGCAAAGAGCTCACACTTGTAGCCTTTTCCTGTGGTACATCATAAGCTGAAATAGAGTATAGGAGGCGCTGAGAAAAGGGACTTGTTAGGGCTTGTCTTGGAAACTTGAGCGTCTCAAACTTTCCCACTTGTACACCCCGTTCACCCTTAAGCTGAGACTACAGCCAAAGTTACAAGCGCGAGCTAGTCCACACTCCTGGCTTTGAGACCCGCATTTCTAGCACGAGTGCTCGTTCTGCAGAAGAACGCTCCAAAGCAGCGACCTCAAGCTCTCGTGCTTGTTGTATTGGCTGCAGTCTGGTGTGGAACGCGATAACGAGAAAAATACAAATAAAGAAAACAATTCTAACGCCGTCGAAGCACAGGTTAAAGGGATGAACCGAAATTTGGATTGCAGAAAACAGTGCAGGAGCTGTAGGCGGGACGCTGCAATTCCTACAACACTACTCGTAACATCTCAAATAAGCGACCGTATTTTCACAAAAAAAAAAAAAAAAAAAAAAAAAAAAAAAAAGGTCGAGATTGAACGAGGTCGACGAGGCGCGTGACGTCAAGATTTCTCATTTCCTCCTCTCTTCGTTTCGCCCCCTCAAGGCGGCGAAGCGGAGAAGACGCGAGGCCGTTCAATCTCCTCGGAGAAACAAGGCGTAAACATATCTGTCAAATGCGCCTGCTTTTTTTGAAAAATGCGGTCATCCGTTCGATACATCGTTGTACGAGTGATGTTTGGATGTTTATAAGATCCCGCTGCACGCTTTTGCCGCTGTGCTTTGTGGAATCTAGATTTCGGGTCAGCATCCCTTTAAAGCTAAGACGATAAGAGCGTGAACCAGAAACGCCGTGTCACGCCTTCCAAAAGCAAAAATCGTAAAACCAATAAAAAAAAAAAAAACTTTTGGGACGCCATATGTATACTCACGTCACCACCCAGAGATAAAAGACGCGTACCCTAGCGGTGGTGGCATGAATCTAGAACTTTCTATTGTCTTGCGGCGTTGATCCTAGCTGATTGCGAACGTCAAAAGGTGTTCTTACGTGCTTCAGCACTACACAAAAAGGAAATAAGCTCAGCGAAGGCGCCCCAAGTAGTGCGAGGCCCAATCAGGTGAGCTTGTACTACCCAAAATGAGTGCACCACAGTTCAAAGGCCCAGTGCAGGAGGCCTGTACGGTAATGACAGGGTCACGAGGACAACTGTTCGCCTTACACATCATAAGAAGCAATGCAAGGCACACCTGGTACCTCGGGTCACTATGGCTCACGGTTTTTCCTACGGCCCAGTCGTTGCTGCTGTTCGCGTTGCTCTGGACACAACTAACGCAAGTCCCCTCGCTTTATTTCGGTGGCCGTCACGCCAACCGACGACAACATGCAAACAGGGAAGCCGCAACAGGCAAGCGGAAATCGTGTTTTCCCTCTAGTTGCTGTCCGTTTTGCTGGAGCCGCGACTAGCGCTCCCTGCGGTCGCCTTGTGCACTTTCGTTTTTGCTGACAAAAAGAACCATTCCGCAGCAGAGCGTGAATCGAGCAACCGTATACAATAGGGCTCCTGACCGGTGCACCTTCAGCGTTCGTACTTACGCGCGCTTTGCTCGCTTTCCAAGTCAAGAACATTCGCGCGCTGGGCGTTGAAGATCACAGGATTGGCTTTTAAGTTCATAGAATTTTCTCTCCCAGATTGTTGGCTCCATTTTTGCTAAAAGTGTACGAAAAGACGACGTTTGTACTTGTATATTTTTTTTTTTTTTGTTAAGATGTGGTACATGTTGTGCCGGCCGCCCAGGAATACTAGCCTAGGCTAGTGTTTTTGGGCTGCAAGCAAGAAGGTGAGAAAACTAATTTTAAAACGAATGAACAGATTTCAAACTTGCGTCTGGTGGCGGTCTGTGAAGCTCCGTTGAAATGCCGTCACGTCATGAGTTTCTAAGCAGCGCCAGTTCGCGGCAGTATGGCTCTCTAATTGAGTTACTTAGTCCTGAATGTTACTTGGCGGAGAACGCTTATAAGCTGAGACTGCAGCCAGAGCTACAAGCGCGAGCTAACCGGCGCTTCTGGCTTTGATACATGAATTTCTAGCGCGATCAGCGCTCGACCGTTCTGCGGAACAGCGCTTCAAAGCAGCGACCTCGAGCTCTCGTGGTTGTGGCATTGGCTGCACTCCCAGCTCCACAGTACTTCTGCAAAGTGCATTCCACACCATCAAGATCGCCATTCTTTGCAGATGCTAAGTAGGAGCTTGATCTGAAGATGCGGGGATCTGTTAGGCCGACCATACGCCATTGCTGAGTAATGACGGATATTTCTACTTACTGGTTCCCTCGAGCCACAACTTCTGCGCTGTGAAACTAACAAGGTGAAGCGAACGCTCGTGGCACATCAAATATCGCCATGGCCGCAAATGATGTTACGGGCAAGCTATGTTTGGGCCATAGGGCGTACAGCCCTCGGATATTACTACTAGGCGAGATTGTCACGCGTTGACGCCACCAAGCGGCAAGGTTCGCAACTACAGTACCCTTGACCGTACGAGAACTGTTGACGTCACGAGCGTGATACGCATTCCGCTTCTCGCTGGCCACCTTTGAAGCGAGGGGTAGAGCTCGCGGTCATATCATCAGAGAGACTCCCCCACGGGTATACAATACATATACAAGTATGGAAGCACATAAATCGAATTTCGTTAGTAGACTGAACACTTGCGCAGACAACGACCGCGTTAAGAAATTACTAGTTAATGTATTGATTAAAAAAAAACGGAATCTAGAGAGCAATGAAGTTTGAGCCAAGTAAAGTTCTGCCGTTCCCGTTCCTGTGTGCAGAACTTCTTCGACTCGTGGCAGCAGATTACATTGTCTATCATCCCCTTGGTGAAGAGATCGTGGGGCTACGCCGACCTGTACACGTACGATCCCATGGGGCACGGAGTGCATTTCTACGATGACTCCCACACCTTGGCGATGCCGGACCAGAACCTGGTGATGCCATACTTCCACCAGGCTGCACCCAGAGCCGTCAACATGGGAGGCCTCGGCGCCCTGGTGGCCAGAGGCTTCATGCAGGTTTGATCAAATTCGCCGTTCGTAAACAAAACAACAACAAAAAGAAACGTATTTTTTTTAGATGATAGCTCGCGGACTATGCATGTTTAAAAGTTAAAATTTAACGCGGTGCGAAATACAAGTAGTCAACACAGAATGTGCTTATGGGCTGGATATTATGGAGAAATTAAGTGTATGACGCTCGACTGTTACGAAAATCTTCCTAACGCAAATCAGCACGGCTTCAGAAGAAACCTGTCATGGAAAACACAAATACTGGAATTTATTCATCGCATAATATGAACGCGGAACTAAGAAACTTTTTTCGACGATCAGAGGGATTTTTTTTTATGGATATGCGTTAGCATTGGTTCTTGCTCACACTTTGGCTCCTTTCCATTCGCTTAGGACCCCTTGTCATTCGTTTATCCCCGCTTTCCTGTCGTTTATTAATGCCTTTCCTCTTCGCTTTCCGCTGCACGCTTCCGTCGCTTTGCCCCTGAGGCAGCAGCCAAACGACGCTCAAGCTCTTCCTGTGTCTCGGCCTGATGTCGCCGACGCGTGGCCTCGGCTTTCTTCCGTTGTCGCTCTTGGATACGGTCAGCCAAATGACTCGCGGAAAGAACCGCATCCATCGCCGGAGCGGCAACTGAGCTAGGCCGTATTCCAAAGTGGCGCGGCGCCTGCTCGTCTCTGGCTCCGCGCCAGCTGTGCGACGCTCGTATTGGTCCAAAGCGCTGACGTCAGCACGCGTCACCCTCCCCCTCTCTTCCCGCCGTCGTGGTGAGACATGGAATCTGTAAACACGATGTCTCCTCACCACCCCTCTCCACGCGACGTCATGTCTGGCGCTGACAAACGGACGCACGGACTGACACCGGCGGGTTTTCATGAAAATGATCGTTCTAATGTTAACGCATCAAAAAGCGTTCCACGCAGGCTAAGGAAACAAAAACATTCCACAGCAGGCAATGCACAAGCATCCAAAGCTTATAGAAGGCAAACTTGGCTGTAATAATTCATACATAAGCATACGTAGGCACGATTAATCGCAAACAGCGAGATTCACCAAAGGGCTCAGCGGAAATCAAACCTCGGAGCATGCGGTTCGCAGTCCGACGTCTTTCGCTCCGCGCCACAAAGATTGGGTGAGAGAGCGGAAGCGTCTGGACTATTATAGTATGACTTGTCGCCGACGGTCGCATGCGGAACCACGCGACTGTCCGCGGCGAGTGATGCTTAAAGACACATGCGCGCAAAATCCATCCGACGAACGATCCGGCAATACGACTGCCTGATCCGAAAAGTTTGGTCGCTTCAGACGTCGGATCGGCGATCCGGCGTGCGCTTCATCATAGCTTGGCAAGCGGCGAGGGCTACGGTTCCAGTGAGCCAATCAGTGCGTTCAGGAGAGACAATTTCACTACTAGTTGCGCTCAGTGCTGTAAAATCCACGGGCGGTAGAGAGGAAAGCCATTGTTTTATGAGTACGGAGTGACACACAGCTCTTTGCTCGCCACGGTGTTGCAGGGTGAAGGTAATTTTGATAAGTCTCTGATTAGCCTCCAAATCGGTTTTACACATTAATAGACGCGTCCAAATAACCCAAACTGCAAGTCACAATAATTTGTTTTTTGCGAAGTTTCAAATTTTGCCTGATGTTTGATGCTGCGAGATAAATGCCGGTTATGCTCACGCCAGCAAAAGGAAAAACCACGCGCAAAATTATTGTTTGTTAGACTGCCTGCTTGACTTCCAACTTATACAACGTGTGGCATCATCCAGTGCGCGTGAAAATCTGAATGTGTTTTGCTATCACCTTCATTTTCCGTCTTCTCAATAGCTATTTTGAATTTAGGGATACTGAATAGTATACAGGAAAGAGTAAAGAAAAAAAACCGCCGGAGCGGATTCGCCTCCTTTCTCATCTCCTTTCCAGCGTTCGCTTTGCTAAAGTAGGAGCTTGTCCGGATATTCTTAGCTTGCAACCGATTAACGATTAAATGTGTCGATAGCTTTTAAATTCCCTCTGTCGGGTCCGCAATATGGTATTGTCATAGCTGTTTCCTCGGACTCTTGCGTCGGTCCGTTGCACGATAATGGGAACATTAGGAGGTGCTTCCGTTGGACAGAAGAACTAATTAATTGCTGCCCCAATTATTGAAACGCCACAAGCAAGAACTGTCAAATTGTAGCTTGAGAAAAATTATTCCTTAATAACCGACCTTTGGTTGGCATATGTAAAGGTAAAGGTGGACTGACCAGTGTGAGAGGACAACGCAGATAACTCCCCACAGGGACAACCAGAAAGATAGTTGGTAATTGGCTTATGCATTGGTATAATTCGATTGACCAAAACCCTTGCAAAGTAGTCAAACGTATACCAAACGCTACTCCGTTTCGTTACGATTCTGTACTGAAGAAAGAGTTAGACAATGCAGAATCATCATGAAACGGAGGAGTCTCGGAATGCAGAACATACGGTGCAAGGTCACAGCGCAGTGCGCATGCTCGTCCAACATAGAGTTGGTGCCAGGTTAAGAATTCAGTAAAAGCTCCGCCTCCAACACGCGCTCGTTGCCCTCCGCCGGGCTTTGGCTGAGCGTGCGACGAAGTGTTATCAAAGACAAACAGCATGGAAGTGGAGGCGAGGCATCGACTGAATTCTTCACCTGTCACTACTGTCACTGACTATGCGGAGCGCCAGTTCGTCTGCTTCTTGCACAGAGGCTGCGATGATGTCAGAACGCCGAGCTCTGGCTGATGAAAAAAAAAAAAATAGTCGGTAGACCTCAAGGCATCTAGCATTGAGGTCTCCGTCAGTCAGATCTCGGCATCGTTCTGACGTCACCGCAACTGCTGCGCAAGGAGCAGACGACTTATTTTCCGCATTCTAATCCGTCGCGTCAATGCGCCAGCAAAACACATCGACCTTCAAAAAGAATGCATTCCCTAGGCCTTCGACCGAACCAGCGAGTCCATCGGAGGTATCAATCGCAACTCGTGGTCAGCCAGCACCAAGAAGGCATTCGAGGACCGGTACGCGTGCGTGGCCCAGGCCTACGGAGAGGACTGGGACGAGCGCATTGCGCGGCGCCAATTCGGCGACCTAGCAGCCATCCATTCGCTCTACAAGGCCTTCTCGCCGGCTCCGACACTGCGGCGCCGTCTGTACGGCCTCGAGGAGTTCACGCCGGATCAGACCTTCTTCGTGAGCTTCTGCCACGCGCTGTGCGTCCGAGATCCCGCCGACAGGGTCGCCAGGGCGCGGTGTAACGTGCCACTCATGAACCTTCGTTGGTTCTCCGAAGTCTTCGGCTGTCGCAAGAGAGAGCGGATGAATCCTTCCAAGAGGTGCGCATTTTGGTAAACGGTGTCATCAACCACATCTATACATCTGACTCACGAACACTATCGCGAATAGTATTTGGTATAATAGCACCGCTCCGTTATCCGGTCAGCAGTGGGTCAACCCTGCTCGCACTCGCACACACAAGCAAGATGCGTTGTTGATGTTGTTTTCTGCGGCCTCAGCATACTTTGGCGCTGGCGCTTATTTACTTATCAGAATAATCCCGTGGCATTGCCAGCTATAAATGAATTTGGCATGTCCATGAACAGAGTTAGCTCAGTGTTGGAATATCGGGAAGTTATCGGTGTAATTACCTGTCTCAATAGCAGGCAACACCGCTACCACTGCAGGCTGATACGAATTTTATTATCATACAGAAGAACCCAACTCATAAAGATATTCCAACGCATTTTATGACACACGTGATACTGGCACAAAGAACTTTCGACGGTACGTTAGCGCCGCTCAGTGAGGTTTTGGTATGTGTGACGTTACATCAGGACCTGATGGCTACCCCTCCACCAAATCCTATCATTAACTTATGTAACGTATTTTCTTTTTTTCGGTCATTTTGTTTTTCTAGATTACCTAGCTGGCAACCATCCAACAAAAATAGTTTGTCAGATGCTTATTCGGTCTCTTAGGATCAGTAGTCCTCATATGGCACGACGTTGCCAAGAATATCAGCGGTCAAAGTCGCGTACTGTACCTTTGTAATCGGATATATACTTCCGTGAACCGGAAAGAATGTACGTGTTTTTCTTTTAGCGTTTTAACTACGCTCGGCCGCAAGGGAATGAGACACGTATGTAAATATTGTAAACAGGCGATCGAACGCGTTGCTTTAAAACTTAAAGGAAGATGCATGCATGTACGTGTGTGTGTTAAAAATGTTTAATAAATAAACGCTATATGAATGATCTAAAGCTTCGTAAGTTATATCTTTCCCAAAAGAGCGCGAATAGACAAAGATGATAATGCAATTAATGCAAAGGTGCAAGCGAGCTGGACAAGAATGCCAAAAATAATCCCCGGAGAAGGAGAACAAGGGGACAAAGGACAAACACAAATCTCCAAACACAGCTAGGTGACTGGTGCACGACTGAAAAATCCGCCTGGTCCTGGTATCGAGCCAGGGACCTCTCCATTTCCAGTGGAGCGCTCTAACTGAGCTAACGAGGAGTTAGACGTCAGTAGAACAGTGAAGGTTCGTTCTTTTCTTATGATTGCGTCAGGGACCCGATGACTGAGAACGTCGATGGTCTTTGGATGTTGATGGTCATAAAAATGACTGACAGGACTCCATCAAGTAGAGAAGAATAGAAAAAGAAACGTCTATTTACAAAACAGATCGAATCGTTGCCCGACCGACGTTTTTCCCCGGCCCTCGCCGTCGTCTCCCTTCTTTCCTTCTTCCTTTTTCCATGTCTCGCTCGAGCCGCAGCCCTGTCATTCACTTTAAAGTCATCACTGAGCGAAAAGAAAAACGAAACCGAAACCCTGCGCATGTCGCGCCTTTGGATTTACGGTTGGTAAAACAATAACCTGTTGGTTCTTGTGAACCTGTTGGTTCACAAGAACCAACAGGTTTTATCAACTGCCTCCAGTCTAGCACCAGCAAGGATAAACGGCCCGCAGATTATGATGATAATGCAATCAATGCAAAGTTGTTGACATTAACTACACCTTTGCACGTTGCGGAAACAATTAGGGAGTCGGAATCAATCTTCCATGTAGAAAAAGAGTGCGCGTGCGCGTGTGTCTGCTTTTGGAGAGATTGGCAGCAATCTTATCTGCCCTTAGGACTGACCTTGGATGTTCCGGGAAAAGCAAATTAGACGGCGTGAGGTCGGTCAGCCATTTCAAATATGGAGGCACTTCTACGGAAAAGAGGATGAGAAATTGGTGAAGAACCAGTCTTCGTTTTTGTCAAACTAATAATTCTAGGAAAATAGCACTTCTCAAACATTTCAATTAAACAATAGGTAGTAGCTGACACCTTTGTCAGTAAACTGGCTATAAATTTCGCGTTGCCCTGTCTACACCTATCATGAGCCCAAGACATCTGAATGACGCACAGTACGCTAAGGACACACGATTCCCAGCAGTTGTTATATTTATAATTTGGAAATAGTTGAGCAATTATATCAGCCTCAAGATTAAACAGATTACAAGATTAATCAATAGATTAAGGGTTGCCGATCAATCGGTTAAAAACTTTAATCGGTGCAGAGTTCTACTTTCCACGCCTACCAATATTTTTCTTTTCTAATCTGTTCATACCTCAACCGAAATTCTCTGGAGCGCAATTTCAGATTTCTGGCATAGGTGCAAGCTGAAGGTCACGTCCATCTTCATCTCTGTTTGTCCCGTGTTTTTAATCCATATTAAGCTTCGTTATAACAGTATGCGCAAGGAAATTTCCCTGGGGGGGCGGCACCTAATGCGCATACTGCCCTCTGCTGAAGAGGACCGCGCTGTATTGGCTGTCGCTGGTTATGTGATTTATACACAGTGCTTCAATAAGTGTACAAATTTACCTACAGTATACAACCTAACCTCACCTCAACCCCCCCCCCCCCTCCCCCACCACAAACAGATTGTGGATCAACCCCTGTGCTTGTCACGTGTGGAGAAAGTGCACGCAGTCTTCGAGCAAGCCTTGAAGCACATCGGAGAAATAACGTACAACACAACAACATTCCATTGCCAAAGAAGCATGCAAACAAGGAGCGTTTTAATTAACGTGGTTTATTAACGTATTACAAAAGCTTCCGAGAAACACACACAAACTACTCTCGGCTCTGTGTAATAGTTTTTTTTTTTTCGATATAAATATGAGAAAACTTACGCCCACTTCGACCGACCTCAACGCGACAATTTATATATGTATAGACACACTGCTCCGTGCACTCGGCTCTCTCTCTCAAAAAAAGACCAACAAAGAAAATTACACTTGGGCACTCTAGGTTCTGCCCTCCCTAATAAGGAAACTTTTGCTCTGGTGCCCCCGTGTTCTTTGCGCTTCCAAAATCAAGTGTGTATCCTACTTTGAGGAAGGAGGAGCAAGAAATACAACATGGAATTTCAAAACACAGTTGTGTAAAAAAAAAACAAAAAAACTTGGGGTCATTTACGCCGTTAGAAAACACGTCCATAGAGGATATCGTTTCATCCCGCAGGAATACAAGTGGTGCACTGGGGGAACAAAGATACCAAGAGATGGAGTCTAAAATGATCGCATCGGAATACAAGTGGTGCACTGGGGGGACAAGAATACCATGAGATGGAGTCTAAAATGATCGCATTAAAACAAGCAGGCACTTTTTGTAACGTCTTGGGGTCCAGTTTACCGAAGGGTTAATCTAGGCTTATCTACAGAGGGAGCTCACGCTGTTATCATCACCAACATAAGTTGAAATGCGACAAGGGCCACAGGCAAGAACTTGCCAAAGAGAGTACGGAAAGAACTGGTAGAGCCTTCGGTGCCATTCTGAAAATATCTACTGCTATGTTCACTGACAGCTTAAGAACTGCAAGGGTGTGACGAATCTCGTGCATCTTATTATCGCTCTGTGGCCAAAGAAATTGCGGCATCAGATAACGCAGAACGAATCACAAAGCAGGAAGTGTGAATAAGCCACGCCCCTGCGTTTCTTAAGCTGTCGGTGTGACCACAGTCGCCGTTGTGGCACACCAACTCGCGTGTTTCACAAGAATATTGAAAAAAAAGCTTTGCAGACTAATGCGGCAAATGACACAGTTAGCATGGAACGTCAGAACAGTTCAGAAAAAAAGAACACTCGTAGAAGATTAAAACCTTTTCCGTCGGCATCAATGCTATGCGAGTTTTGTGATTTTTTTTTTCACTAGAGCACCATTTTACATGCTAACAGAGTTTTTTTCAATGTACTACGAGTGCGCCACGCGTGCTAAATCACACACACATGTGAAGAATGCCGGCAGACAGGTGCGTACAAAGTTGCAATGTAGGCATGATCAATTTGAGGTCGCGAAAACTCCGCGCGGTAATTTAAGTGGAAAACCGCCACAAAACGCCCAGGGCATGACAAGTAGCAAATGTCGTAACAACAGTTCTTTGAACAAAGTGGAAATATTAAAGGCAGCACGAACTTCGGCAGAACCACAGCAACACTAGCTCACGAGGTTACCACGGAAACAGACGGAATGCAAGTAGGCGAGCTACTTGGTACAGCTGGCAACAGACACGCAGAGTATATAGATGAACATTATGTCTCGCATTCTCTCTACGGCACATGGTACTCGTCACCCTTTGCGACTCCTACACACGCTTCTGGATATGTGGTACCGGAAAATTACAGCAGCAGAATACGGGAACGCTACTCACCAAGGTCACTTTTAGTTACCACAACACTGTACCTTGTACAAATTCAGACGGAGAGCAAAAGAGTAAAAAAGGGGGCACTAGCGCGTAAATATAGAAAACGCAGATAAAAATCCTTTGGCAACTAGCTTTCAAAACAAATAAACAGCTATAACTCAAGCAGGCTACTGCAAGCAATTAAACATTTCTTATTTATCAGAAGACAGTCGTCTCATCAAAAGGGATACATACAACACTCAAAGGAGGCAAGTATCAAAGTTATTTCACCTACAGGTGAATGTTTCAGAAAATTCTAATTTGACAATGTTGATCTGATGCATGCCTGTTTGATCAGCGGGTCCCCTAGTAACAGAAGCTTGCAGAGATATGGGGTTTGGAAACTGTTGTCACTGACAGGACAAAAATCCATGAGGCGTCCTTCAAATCCCCCGCCTCCAGCATGCACCTCTCCTTCCACCATCCTACTTTTGCAGCATGTGCATGCTCGAAGTTTACAAGAAGCTGAAGTGGTATTAAAAGTAGACCGCTGTTCTTGAACTTGTCTTTTTTTTGCATTTAGATATGATGCCCTACATGGGTGTGTCACCCTGTGCGAATTCAGTATAAGGGTTGAAGCTTGTGCGTGTTGGAGGTCGGCAAACTTTAAGACCTCTATGTTATTTTTATCCTGTTAATGGCCGTAGTTACGTCTGCCGGGTGCAATTAAATCTTCTATGTATTTCCTGACATGTTGACATTGTGAGAAAATCTTGTCATTGAAAGGGCACATAGTAAAGCATGCAAGAACTGTCTCTAAGCTGTCAAACAGGCTGCTTGCATTTTAGAAGAAATTTAACAATTGCAATAAAATCCAGAAGTAATGTTTAGCTTTCTAATAAAACCACCAGACCTTGGCTACTGCAACTAGCAGTAGACACCTTCGTTTTAAAAATGCGGTCTTATTTTGATAGGAAAACAAAAATAAAACCAGAAAATATTTGTAGTGCCCTAAGTGAAGCATGATGTGCACTGGACATATCGAAAAAGAGTTGGTGGCAATGAGAAAATTCACATGCTACAACACAAAATAAAAATAGATCAAAAGTTTTACAATCCAAAAAAATTCTGATAATGATTCTGAGTTTGAAAGTATGAGTTACACTTAAACTATTAAATTACACTTTCTCTCCTTAGAAAAAGCTTTCAGAAATAACCTAGAAGCAGGTTAGCCATGAAAAATGGAACAGTGTCCCCAATCCCTGAGAAGTCAATGTAGCCCAAGATTCAACCTGGTCCTGCCCTAGGCATGCAAGTCTTAAAAGACCTAGTTTATGGACTACAAGTTTCAGAACCAATATAAAAATGCCCCCCACCCACAGAAGCAATGATTCAAAGCCAACTCTTTTACTTCATTGAGAGCAGCTGAGGTACAGAGAGCAAATTTATAAAGCGAACTCAACCTTTAGTAACATAAAACACAAAAGACAACAGAAATATTTTTGGGTGAATGAGGTGGAATGCTACCCGTATGAGAACAGCACACTACACCGAGGGAAATCAGGGATACAAGTGTGCAGGCAGAGCCCTGACAGACGCACTCATTTGTGTACCCTTCCATTTCAAGACCAGGCATTTATACCAGTCTTTGCCCCACTACCAGTTTAAGGAGGCACAAAGTACATGTAGTTACTCTAGTATCCTAATAAAAAAAAAGCTAGGTAACTGAGATGATACTTGAAATACAAGCGATCTGGCACTAGCTCATTCTGAACAAAGCAAAATCTGCTAGCACAAAGTTTTTTTTTTTTTTTTTTTTCAAAATAGAAGGACTTTATAAAACATTTAACTTTGTAACAGCCATGAAATATGTTTCTGAACCGTCAGCTATGGCATATGCCTTGACACCATGCAGAATATCTGTTAATTATAATCACATGTATACCAAGAAAAGAATATATGAAGAAACAATGCCTCTGTCATAGACGGTCAAATGTGCTTGCCACCCGTTAGTCTAACATTACTTGTATTGCTTCGGTGTAAAGTGCAACGGCCATTTGCAATTAAAAAGAAACTGAGAGCCCAAAATTAGAATGAGAGTTATCAAGCCTGACACTCATAAATTAAATCAGGATTCTGCATTTCCTGCACTTTTTACATTAAAAATTGGATGATGTCATTAGAAGTTAGTTTGTACAGGAAATTTCCTTGTTTTTACTTGTTTTTTCACTGGCATTGAATTAGATCTAGAGATCTTTGGAGTTTTGACTACTACTTAAATAAGTGTTGAAAAAACTATAAAGATTTAGTCTCAAATACCAAATTCTTGCATAATGGCATTGCTTGTGCAACAACAGCCTCATTGCATCAAAGATGTCAAGGGTTTCAAGATGCAAAAAAGAAAATTCCTTTTGCTTTTCTGATGCCTCCAAATTATTAAATCAAATTTTCTCAGAGAAATCTGAATTGCCAGAATATTTACTGGTCAAATTATGTTTCTGAACAAATGTAAAAATGCAAAATCCTTTCACTCTCTATCCATAAACAAAAGTAGAAATGAAAAGAAGGTTCGGTAAAAGCATGACAATACAGTTTTAAGTGTCCTATTTGACTCGCTATTTCAAAGATAACGAAATGCTACTTTCAGCAAATTTAAATGTCATCAAACAAAATAAACTAAAGGTGTGCACAGATGGCAGGGCTGTCCAAACAAGTCTCTTAGAGTTTGCTGTGAGAGTGTTTGTTGCAAGTTTCAATCAATCATCAAATTTTTTTTAATATTTCAATAAAAATTACTAGCTCCATTTGACTACAGTAAAGAAAAACAAAGGAAATAACCAGTTAAAAAGGGACAAGTTTCCGATTCTCAGTGCACATCTTTGGTTCTAGCTCAGGTACCACATGCACACACTAAACTTGGTAACACCTCTGAAGAGATAGAGGGTAGGGTGTTCAATAGCCAGAAAATACCCTCAGGCACATTCTAACACTTCCTACCACATTTGCTTCAACACCTTCCTGAACCACCAAATGCAAACGAGGTTAATGAACAGCTACTAGTTCTAAATTATGCCACACTTAAAGCATGCATACCTCTCAAATATTCATATAAAGTTATATGAAAAGTCATACTAGAGGCTTAGACAACTGATCTAAATGAAAACCTTTTGCTCATACCTTCAGACCACAAACGTTTTGGTAAGCTATGTTCAGAAACTCAAAAATCAAGCAGAACAGATGCAAAGCAAGAAAAAAGTAAACAATATTTTTTTCTATTAAATTAGTATAATGTTAAAAATAGATCATGTTGCAAGCATAATTCTGAAACATATCATGATATAACAGTATGACTGCCAAATAACATGATACACCAGACAGTGTTCTCTGAATTTAAATCATTACAACTATAAACAAACCTAGTGCATAAACAAGAACCATTCCTATACCCACACACATAAAAGTAACAGCAGAAGCAAAAAGCCAAGCCAAATAAAAAAAAACATTTGCACATACAAATATTGGCACACTTAAGGAAACACAAAGATATCCTTTGCCATAGCTCCAGATCCCATACAAATATACTTCAAGGTCCACTGAACTGCAGGTTCTGTCCTCCCTTCGAGTGTAGAGTATACCATACCAACACCAAAATTTCTCAAATAGGTGTTAACAACAAAAAAAAAATGCATTAATCGTTTCTTATTTTCACAAGCTCACCAAAAGCAAGTAGTACATCATAACAGGTGCTTGTAGTCATTCCGTCGGCACCCAAACACACTATTCTCCAAACCAGTAAAAAAAAGATAACAGACATCATTTCAGATACAGAATTGCTTTTCAACTAACAGACGTCCTGACACCCTAGAAAAAAAGCCCGAGCTAAACCGCCTTTGCGGCCATCACATCACGTGCACGCATGTTTCACAAACTAACACTCGTAGTTGACGTTTCCACCTTCTACAATTCTCCTATACAGCTTTTGACTACTGATCTCTAGCACCTAGCCATGTTCCGACCACCTCAACTCATGTCCCAAGCCAGCATCCCTTCGAGCGCAAACACGGAATAACCAAGGCGCTAAACAAAACTGTTCATGCAGGCAGTGCTGGTAGAGTAGTGACTCCTAAACCAAACTCTACCATAGCAGGCAGCCACAGCTTCTCTACATGGGTGTGCAAAGGGCATTCTCTCCTTTCCAAATGTCGGACAGGGTTGAGATTTTGCAGCAGAAGCTTGACCGCGGGATGATGAATGCAGTCTGCTGATGAGCACCGACCTTCGAGCATAGCAGCAGACTTCTGAATGTCTCATTTTGAATGAGGCCGAAAGAGGGTGGGCTTGTCCCCAGGCGAATAACATACTAGGCTGTTCCGTTTTCCTAAAAGAGGGCAAGAAAGCTTAATCAATTATTAGGTCAACATACCAGGGTGTTACTGATATACTTTATAATACCTCCAACTAATCAAAACACCAAAAACAGAACCCTTTATGCAGATGTCTATTGCTGATGCCAGAAACCATGCCTTGCTGAAAATGTATCTGTATACCAACATCATATTCTCAAAATCACCCCTCCAAAATTAAAGAACAATATGTTTAGAAACTTCATTTCTTGGGTGACAATAACAAGAATATAAAAAGTCACAAAAAATTACATTAAACACTTATATTGTATCATTGAATATTGGTAAAACAACTGTTCAAAAATTAAGCAATCCTGTGCTGATCCACAGCCGTAGCTGTGACAAGTCACGGCAAAGTCGTAGGGCATCTGCTTCGCGTTCAGGAAAAGTGTCTGGAACAAAATAATAGGCACCTGACTTTTAGCTAACCACAAAGAAAATGCAACCACACAACGTGAAGATTTCCTTAATACACTGTATCCCACTTCGCGCCTGCTGGCCGGTGTTCAGCACGCGCTCTCTGCTTGCGCCGATACTTTCCCCTCCGGAGACGGAGTCACTCCTAATGTTGGTCGCTCCTTTCTGCTTTGTTCCAGCCACTTTTGTTTCTCTTTTGTTCCCCAGCACGCAAGAGCTCTTAGCATTGACAGTCTTACAACGGCACTTTTTTACCTGCTATTTGTTTTTTCCAGAAAACGCGTGCAGTAACCACAGAATACTACAAAAACCCTTTATTAGGACAGGTTCGTTAACAATGTAAATTACATCATGTCTAAAAAAAAAAAGAAACTGTGGATTAGCTTAGTTAATAACACCTCCGCTTCGCACGCAACAGATCGAGGTACGATTGCCGCGGGTGGCGAGCAATCTTTTCTATAAATTTGGGAACATCAACGACGGCATCGACGATGACGGCATCGACGACATCGCCAACTACAACATCAACAACGGATGACATTTTCAGTTGTGGGAAGAGCCCATAACAGCTATTGCTGTGAAATGTCCAAAGTTTTATAACATGGTAAGTTGTTTCTAAACATACTACTAGTTAACGTGAAGAGGGAGCTTCTGGTAAACCTCAGAACGGTGTGCCGACGTTTCACTACTAGGCCTCCTAGTGAAACGTCAGAACGCTGTCCTGGCGTTTATCAGATGGTCCCTCTTCATGTTCTTCTGCCAGCTTCACTCTCCTTGGTCTTTTCTTTAGACTACTAGTTAAGGGGACGGAGATAATACAGTTCTAATTATCGCATTATATAGTGGTAGTGTTTTTTTTTTAATGTTTCCTCTTTGTTTTTAGCTAAAATAGAGTTAACACTGATATTACCTAATACTTGCAATCTTTCTTCACATCTCTTCTACGAAGAGAACAACAAGAGAATGTTAGTTTCCTGATTGGCATCTTTTATATTCTATACAGATATAAAAAAAAAAGCACTCTAATTCCGTGATTCAGGGGCTACAGCTGCAGCCAAAACAACTAACCACAGTCACAACAAGTGTAAAAACAGAACAAAAACGGTCTAATGATTGTGGAAATATTGTTGGCAATTAATAACTTTTCTTTTTCTAAATTTTAAGGAGTCAAGATTCTAAAATGAAGAGCATAAAAGGCCACTTTTACAAGAACTTCTGCCAAGTATAAAAATGTTCACCCCTTCCAGTATAACAAAAATATGAAACCAATTAAAAAGCCCTATAGACCGACACGCTGTTTACCAAAAGCCCGTGGAGGCCTGAATCTGGTTTCTGCACTGTGCGAGCGCAGAAACCGGATTCGCATGAGGTGAAGCCTCTGCGCATGCGCCCTGGCGACAACAGCGCCACCGCAGAGGCGTGACGTCAGAGCTGCGTGTTGGTCTATAAATGTTCGATGTCCAGAAAATCATTTGTAGAGGGTGTTTGATATCAATTGAAACAGATCCTTATCAGAGTCAGTAGACATTAGATGAGGGGATAATCATCATGGCAAATCGACTAATTAGCTCCAATCTGTTCACTAACTTCTTAACTATTGATATTAAGAGTCACGTTGAAATTGCACATTCATGGCAATTACTGTTGGAGGTCAGACAAATTGAAAGAACTTCAAAAAAGGTAATTGTTTTTTAGATATGAATTGCTTAATTTTCAAACTTTTTCGCCCGACTTAAAAATTGCGCGCAAAAAGAGCCCTACAATCCCTGCCCACAGTGACGCTTAAAAGAGTGACGTAGTCATTTCAGTGCCATCGTCACTTGTGCCCTTGGCGCACCCTCCAAGGACGCGCTGCCAAGATGGCGACAACATGATTGAAACGACTATATCCCAGGCAGGCCTTGTGGCGCTCTTTTTGGGCTCATTTTTTACATTGAGTGAAAAAAAGCAAAAGTATATTGACTAAAGTATATAGACTGACACGTCAGTCTTTTTTTTTTTTTTTCCTTTTTTTATCCAAAACGATTGAAAACAATGCCTGGGCATTCTTTTCAAAATTTGGAGCTTAAAAACTCAATATTTGTAAAATAAAAAAAATAAAAAAATTTTCCAAGAGTTGAATTTGAAGTTTTTGCGTGATCCACACCATTGCAATGACGTCAAGGATTGAGTCACCCTGGGGCTCTAAACTCGTAAAACACAAAGTTGGAGCCGAAGTTCACAGAGAGCACTGATTGGATTATTCCGACGATGACTTCGCGCTTTTTTCATCGGGGGTCCAATCGGCGTGTTCCACGAACTCCAACTTTGTGCTTGACGAGTTTAGGGCCCCCGTAACTCGAGGTTCCCTCCCTAAATCTCTTCCGCCTCCGAAGCACCCCAACCGAAAGTGTCGTGTTCACCCACTATTAACCGCCCTTCTCCGTGCGTGCCGCCTATTGCTGCGAGCAGAAGGCGCTTCACTTACTAGGTTGAAGTACTTTTAAGGCCCTTTCAGCGACCTCAAATTCTTTGAAACGGTGCGAGGTTGAAAAGGATGCGCAGTGGACTTTTGTGAGTGACATGAGGGGCCATGCCGCGCCGGTGCTGCGTGAAAGGCTGCCCCACGGCGGGTCGACGAGGATTATGAGGTCAGCCCAAGCGTTTCTAGAACGTTGGGGGTTCAAATGGTACCTCGGATGAGGTGTGGTGTCGTTTCGACGAACTTGCTGCAGCAGGTCACATCACACAAAGCAAAACGTTCGAGGTTAGAGGTAAGTCTACCAAGCATAGAGAACTTCGTTTGATTCCCCGACTCTCCGATCGTCCTCGCTGCTACACGGTCCGCTACAGGTGCCGAGCACAGCCATGTTCTCCGAGGAAGGATAAAAAGCCAGGAGGCGACATCCTTCCGGATTCAGATTTTCGATATTTCAAAAGTAGTGCGTTAGCAATTGCGTTAAAGAACATATTTTATGAATGCGGTTAATATCAGAAATGTCGCTCCCAAAGTTTCTAAATTTCATAATCGATTACGTCAAAAATAAAAAGAAGCGAGGAGGTGGAATGTGAGAAAGAAGAACACCAAAAATAAAAAAGTGTGCGAGCCCGTAAAAATACTTTTGTGTGTGTGTGTGTGTGTGTGTGTGTGTGTGTGTGTGTGTGTGTGTGTGTGTGTGTGTGTGTGTGTGTGTGTGTGTGTGTGTGTGTGTGTGTGTGTGTGTGTGTGTGTGTGTGTGTGTGTGTGTGTGTGTGTGTGTGTGTGTGTGTGTGTGTGTGTGTGTGTGTGTGTGTGACAATTTGCATTGTTTTAAACAAAAAATAAAAAAAATAAAACAACCTTCAAGGTGTTGTTGTTTCTTTAATTTCTCAAAAGCCATTACCTTTTCAGAAATATTTTTTAATTGGTCTAGCCTGTAATAATAATTAGCATCAATACTGCAGTTTCAAAATGTCCCCTAGAACCAATAATTAAAAAATAATTAAAGTATTTTAGTTAATTGGCCAACATAACATGATGATTATCCTCTCATCTAATGTCAGCCTTTTTTCGCCACATTTCTCACACACACTTTTTTTTTAATCTGTTCGAATTAAAATTAAACACCCTGTACATATGAATACCGAGTTTGATTAAATTCTACAACATTAGTTTACAAAGTATCAGTCGTCCCCAGCTTAGTGAAGATTGCCACAGTGAAAAGGAAACGAGGAATAGACATTCCACATAGAATTAATACTTTGCAAATTTTCTTAATTAAATAGTTATCAGGTCTAGTGATAAAAAAATCAAAGAGCATGTCAACACAATGAAAGATTGTCAAAAGCAAACTAAATGTGCATAAATTTCTAGTAAATAATAAATATCTCATATAAATGGAACTTATGTAGTAAACAAAGCAAATTCACAGTATACCAAATTATAATAAAATGCATCAAAAAATCAAACTGATTGTGCTTAGATATTGCAGCACCCACCATCTACTACAAGCAAAATAAACACTTCCTATATGTACATAAAGAACAATTCATGTAGTTTAAACAATTCGTATAGCTTAATTAATTAATCGATTAATTAGCAGGTACAATACATAAAACAATTAACAACTTAGTATGGAGAGAGACGACAAAACAAAAACAAGAAATAACCAGAGACAAAGTTGAATTTGCCGCCATTCAATAATGAAACAGTTTCATCGGAAGTTGCAGGTAACTGAGGACAGATGGCGCCACACGTTTCGGAGTCCCCGGCTTTCTGCACGAACCCCGAACTGAGTGGTTCCGATTCGAGCCCCCTACGAACGCGGAAGGCTCGTAGTAAATAATAAAGATAAGAGATCTGTCTAGTCTACTGATAAAGGTGTAGTGACGGAGCCAAAATCGTTCACGATGGCGCGGTTCCAAATTTGCGTTAGATAAGCTGACACGGGTCAGTGGTCTCGAGCGCATGCGCGTCTCGGTAGGGACCATTTTCGCCGAGCGACAGTGGTCAGCTTTGCGCAGAGGCGGTGTCGTACCCAATGAGGTTTTAACCGAGGGGCGACTATTGCTAGTTGAAAACTTTTCCCAATACCCCGCC